CCGAAATAAGGATCTCCTTAACTGCTACTATCTCCTATGCAGGGAAAGACAGCATGTGGCAGGCACTGTCCTGGACGCCCAAAGGACAGAGCCCCTGAGGAGCTGACACCCCAGGGGGAGTGCGGAGATTAACAATTCAACATAATAAAGACGTGGATTGCTTGGCGTGTTAGAAGATGATAAGTGCTCAGGAAAAAAAATCAAAAGTAGAGCAAAGTCAGGCCCATCTGGGCAATGGGCTGTACTCATGCATTAGTTGTCAGTGTAACTAATTACCCAACACTCAGCCACTTCAAATCACAAACATTTCTCATCTCAGTCTCTGTGGGTCAGGAAGAGCCCGGCTGGGGCGTCCTGGCACAGGGTCTCCCTCGGGGTTGCAAACAAGATGCTGGCCTGGGCTGCAATCATCCAGAAGCTTAACTGGGGCTGGACCCTCTGCTTCCAAGATGGCGCCCACACACAGCTGTTGAGGGAGGCCCTACGTCCTCCACGCAGGGCTGCTTGAGTATCCTCACAGCATGGCAGCCAACTTCCCCCACCCCCACCCCTGAACAAGTGGCTCGAGAGAGAGAGCAAGGAGGGACCTGGTCTTGGCAATGACACCACCTGTTCGGGGAAGTGAGTCACTGGGTCCATCCCGCAGCTCAGCGAGACGGGAACTGAAAGCAGGAGCATCGCGGTTAGGATGAGGGAAAGGGAAAATTTGAACAAAGACCTGCAGGAGGAGAAGGGCTTGGCCAAGCACACTGGGGAGCAGGGGAGCAGTGGAGCCATGGGGCCAGGAGCTTCCCGGTCATGTGGCAAAGAGGAGAGTGGCCACGGGAGGCTGCTGCACTCCTTTCGTCCATCCCTGCTGTGTGACCCTGGACAAACCCCTCCCATCCTCTGTGGAATGGAGATGTCCCTGACCCGAGATGCTTGCGGCCGGAAGCGTTTCGGATTGCAGAGTTCGGACTGGGGATCTGGGGGCTGGGGAAGCTGTAATAAGTAGTCCCAGGTTTATTGGAAGTGTTGAGTATGGGAACACCTGCAAAGCACCCAGCCCGTATCTGGTGCTCTGGTCCACACCAGATGCCCAGAACCTGTTATCCAATGCCTTTCTTGCAGTGAGCATCAGGGCCAGTGCCTCGTTCTTGTCATCTGGGCATCAGGCAGCGACAGAGCAGACCACTGGCCAGCGTCTCTTGGGGGACACAATCCTTAGGGGGTGTGGCAGGAACATCTTCCTTCTGCAACCCAGAGACAAGCAGCAGAGGGGATGGAATCTCTCCGTTTGTCTGGGCCTCAGTGTCACAGGGGCTGCCCAGTGGCTTGGATGAGGGGGAAGGAGGCTCAACCAGGGACCAGGAAGCCAGCTCAGAGGTTCTAGAGTGAAGTCCTCCCCAGGCACCGCCCCCGAGCACCCCCATGTCAGGTCATGGACAGTACTGGCTGAATGTTGTTTGAGCCTTGTCCCCCGCTGAGTGCTAGAAATGGGGTTGTCAGCAAGAGTAAACCCTGGGGCCCCACGCTGTGGAGTAGTGAACAAAGCCAAAGCCTGCAGCACCAGCATCCCATATGGGTGCCGGTCCAAACACTGGCTGCTCCACTTCTGATCCAGTTCCCTGTTTGTGCGCTTGGGAAAGCAGCAGAAGATGGACCAAGTGCTTGGGAGCCTGCACCCATGTGGGAGACCCAGAAGAAGCTCCTGGCTCCTGGCTTTGGATTGGCCCAGTTCCTGCCATTGTGGCCATTTGGGGAGTGAACCAGCAGATGGAAGATCTCTCTCTCTCTCTCTTTCTTCTTTCTCTCTCTCTCTGTCTCTGCAACTCTGGACACAGGGAGGAGAGAAAAGTATTGTACCCCCATTTGGCAGCACACAATGACCCCAGGACCCCCAGTTCCTTGCATCGCTTGGTGACCACATGGGCGAAGGGCTCTCCGGCCCCATGAAGTCCTGCACGCAAGGGTGTGGCTCAGGGTGAATGCAGCCCACCCCACAGAGAGGGCTGTGTTCTGAGGGCTGCAAGCCTCTCTTCCAATCTCAACCCCCGTACATGCACACCCCGCAAGGGCCAGCCAATTTCTGGGCCTCAGTTTCCTCTTCCATCAAAGGATAACAGCTTGTTCTGTGCCCGATTTATTCACTCAGCAGACTTAGCCTGCGACTGTCACGCGCTGTTCTGCTGCCTTGGAAGAACCGTGCATCTCTAACGAGGAGCCTCCGTCCTTGCTGTGCCTCATGGGCGCTGCTCCAGGCTGCCCCTGCTCGGACCCCGCCAGCCAGGACACCACGTGGCCCACGCCCTCTCGCTTCGATCCTTAAGGTCTCAGTGAGGCTCATGCAGCCCATCCTGTGCAACCCCACAGCCCGCAGCCCCAGTCCCTCCAGACTCCATTTGTCCTTCTTCCCACAGCGCCCACCATTTCCAACACGGGGACCCTCGCTGTGCACTGTTTCGTTCTCAAGATCCTAGCAGGCTCCGCGGAGGCCTGAGCAGTGGTGGAGCACTCCTCCTTGCCGGATCTGTCAGTGCACTGCGTTTATCTGCGGTCCAGCCTGAGCACCCTTGACACGGCCATCTGAAGTGCTCCTAAATCTGCAATCTTGGGGGCGCTGCCCTGAGGCCACAAGGGGAAAGTTACACACCGTGAAACTGTTTCATTCACAAAATTATAAAATTACCTCCAGACTACGTGTATAAGGTGGATATGAATCATAAACAAATTCTGTATTTCAACCTGGGTCTCATCCCCAAGATATCTCATTGTGAACATGCACAGATTCCAAAATCTGAGATCTGAAGCACTGGGGTCCGAAGTTCTCCAGGCAAGGGATTCTCAGCCTGTAGCTTGTGACCTTGGTGTCTGTAACATTCGTTAGATTCTCAGAGAAGTGCATGCCTTTGAAAGTTCAAAACCAACTAAATCAATGCCTGGCAAAGAATAGGTGCTTAATAAATACTTATTGACTAAATTAAAGAACTTTCAAAACATACTCTCTCTCTCTCTCTTTTTCTTTGTGTGAAGGGAATCTGGTGATGGAGCTGGTGTCCTTGGACCTACTATGTAAGAATGATAAAATGACCTTTAAAAATTCAGATTTGGGATGTGCTTTTGGTGCAGAGGTTAGGATGCCACTTCCGTTGCTCAAATCCCACATCAGAGCGCCTGGGTTCAAGTCCCGGCTCTGTTCCTGGTTCCAGCTTCCTGCTAAAGCACCCCTGGGTGGCATCGGGTAATGGCTCAAGTACTTGGGTCCCTGCCACCCACGTGGGAGATCGGGATTGAGTTCTGGGCTCCTGCTTCAGACCGGCCCAGCCCCAGCTGTTGTGGCCATCTAGGGAGCAAACCAGTGGATGGAAGACCCCCTCTGTATATGTGTGTGCCTTACAAATAAAAGGAAAATAAATTCAAAAAAAAAGAATAAGTTTGTGGAAATGGAATTATAACTTTATAAGAAATAGATAAATAAAAGCACAGATTTTGATGATTCAAAAATACCGCCGAGAGTCTGAATGAGGATTCTGTGGTTTTCAAGCCCCAGTGCAGGCGAGTCTGACATGCAGGCAAGGTGAGGGATTTCTGTGTGGGGCCTTAATTAGACACAGGGGAGTCAGCCCCAGTGCGCAGCTTTCACACTTCGCAAAAGCAGGCGATCACACCCCGCAGTCATCTGTGACTTTCCCACCCGTGGTCCTCTGTGACCTTGCCCCGAGCTCTCAGGGTGGCTGGGCAGGGGTCACTGTCTCACTTTCACGGAGCAGAAAGCTGAGGCCCTGCAGAATCAGGAGAAACCCTGCCCAACACCCCACAGTCACACGCCTGCCGGCGGTGGAGACAGCACTGGAACTCGGGCCCCTGGCCTCTCGCCCCAGTGTTCTCCCCTCTCCACCAAATAGATAAACCCCAGTTCCAGGAAGTTCCAAGGCCACGACAGGGGAGGGGGCTGGAGAAGGGAGGGAAAGGATGGCAGGTGGTAGAGGCAAGGTTGGAGGACTCAGAAAGCACATGGCCCTCACACGCCGACTCGCGGCCTCTGCCCCTGCACAGCCGCCTTCTCGTGGCGGGCCTCAGTCTTCTTATCTGTGAAATGGGACTGATAACCCATGCTTGCAGAGTATAATGCACTCTACAAAGCCAAGCTTTTGTTGCTGTTAAAGGAAGGTGTGAAATGTCCCACGGGGGAGGTCCTCCAGGACACACGAAAGCCCGGCCTTCATTGGAAAGACACTTGTGGGCACTCACCAGGCGCCTGGCACTACAGTGGGCACGGCACACACAGCCCCGATCTCACCCTCACAACACCTCAGCGGGGCAGGTGCTGCTGCTGCTGCCTCCTTGGACCCATGAAGAAGCTGCAGTTCCCGTGAATGGGTTCCAGTCCACGCTTGTTCATTCACTCAGCTTTGCCTAAAAGCCTGCTAGGGGCCAGGCTCTGGGCCAAGTGCTGAGGATAAGATGAACAAGTCCTCCAGGAGCCGTGCCCATAAATTACTTTTAATAACAACTTGGTACATGCTTCGACAGCCCAAGCGCAGCGGGAAGCCAGAGGAGGGCTCACCGGTTCCCTCGGGGGTACAGGGACCCTGCGCTGCCTGGGTGCCTGTGCCTCGTTGATGTGGCCCTCACGAGGTCTGGGTTCCAGTCTAGCTCCACCACGGCGCTGCTGGTGTTTCCAAGAAACTTCTTCCACTCTGAGTCTGGATCTGGAAAATTACGAGGTTGAGTGGGCCTATGATCCTGCAGCTCTGGGACCCTTAAGCTTCTGGCCCTCTCACCTCACCTTCTGGTCAGTCCAATGCCGGCGATGACCCAGCCTCGCGTCGGAGCCCCTGGAAGGTCCCTCACATCCCGATGAGGCGGCACTCATCGTCTGGGGCGGGGCCTGGAGCCTAAGGGGCAGGGCTCCTGCCGGGGCGGGGCCGAGACCTACATGACGGCGCACGGCCCGCCCAGAAGTCTCTGATCCAACCAATGAGAGCCAGGGGGTGGGATGACCCCGCCTCTTGGTATAAGAGGTGGCCAAGCTCTGAGAAGCTGCGCGGAGGTCTCGAGTCCGACCTGGGTGTTTGTGCTGTGCGCTTGCTACGCCGAGCCGCGGCCGCGGGGTTCGCAGGAGGGCGGAGCTCGGAGTGTGCAGGGCCAGACAGGGACACCGGTCGGGTTCCGTTTTCCTTCGCGCGGCTGAACTGCAGGGACTGCACCGGGCCCGACTATCTCGCCGCAGAGGAGCAGCTGGCCGGGGCTGGGGGGCGCCCGCGCTGATCCTCCGCCCTCCACCATGGCCGACCACCTGATGCTCGCCGAGGGCTACCGCCTGGTGCCGAAACCACCGCCCGCCGCGCCCGCCCACGGCGCCTACACGCTCCGGACTCTGCAGCCTTACGCGGGCCCGGGCTTGGACAACGGGCTGCGGCCGCGGGGGGCTCCGCTGGGACCGCCTCCGCCCCCGCCCGGGGCCCTGGCGTACGGGGCCTTCGGGCCGCCGCACTCCCTCCAGCCCTTTCCGGCCGGGCCGCCTCCGGCCGCCGGCGGCCCGCACCTGCACCAGGTGGCGGCGCTGTACCCAGGCCGCGGCCCCGCGCCCCCCGGGGTCCCAGGAGGCGCCCCCGGGCTGCAGCCGGCGCCCGGGGCCGGGGCCCCGCCACTGCCCGCGCACGCCCTGGGAGGCATGGACGCGGAGCTCATCGACGAGGAGGCGCTGACGTCGCTGGAGCTGGAGCTCGGGCTGCACCGCGTGCGTGAGCTGCCCGAGCTCTTCCTGGGCCAGAGCGAGTTCGACTGCTTCTCGGACTTGGGGGCAGCGCCGCCCGCCGGCCCGGTGAGCTGCTGAGCGCGGCCGGTCCCGCCGCCCCGCCCGGGTGCCCGCGGGACTCGGCGCCGCGGCGGGGCCCACTCGCACCCTCCGTGAGGGTGCCCCTGCGGACGGCGGCGCTGACTCACATCTCGGACCCGCGCCGCCGCCGTCCGTGAAGGGGTCTGGACCAGCTCTGGGACTCGCCCCACTCCCCTATCTGAGCCATTCCGGGCCTCTGCCTGATGACCCTCATGCTGGATCGGTCCCCGGAGCTCGCTTCCAATGAGCGCCCACCCTCGCCGGGGGCGGGCCCAGCTCTGCAGCGTGCAGCAACGCCGCCCCGCCCGGCCAACGAAACCAAAATAAACTGGGTCACTTTACAGCCTTGTGTTTCGTTTCCTTATCGCTCCAACCCCCGACTACAGTGCGAGGGGGTCACAGTCCCCAGCGGCACCCAGGAGAGGAAACCGACAGTTCATTTCGAAAATCTCTTCTGAGTTTTGCAGCTGTGATATCCTGGAAGGCACAGGCTGCTGCCGGGTGGCAACCCAACCCGCTGGACTGCGGGGCTCCCTAGGGTGGGAGACCTGGCCCCAATGCCAGAGAGGAGTTGGGGGTACCTGAGATGCAGACCCTGGCTCTTCTTTGTGCAAGACACCATGCATTCAGATTTTTTTCCTTCCTTCCTTCCTTCCTTCCTTCCTTCCTTCCTTCCTTCCTTCCTTCCTTCCTTCCTTCCTTCCTTCCTTCTCTCTCCCTCTCCCTCTCCCTCTCCCTCTCCCTCTCCCTCTCCCTCTCCCTCTCCCTCTCCCTCTCCCTCTCCCTCTCCCTCTCCCTCTCCCTTTCTCCCCCCCTCCTTGTCTTTTAAGATTTGTTTGAAAGGCGGAGCGACAGAAAGAGGGGAAGAGACAGAGATTTTCCATCTGTTGGTTCACTACCCAAATGTCTGCAACAGCTCTGGCTGGGCCGGACCGAAGCCAGGAGCCTAGAACTCCGCTCTGGTCTCCCATGTGGGTGGCATGGACCCAAGATCTTGGGCCATCTTCAGTCACCTTCCCAGGCTCATTAGCAGGGAGCTGGATCGGAAGTGGAGCAGCCAGGATTCAAACTGCTGCTCCTGTGTGGGATGCCGGCATCCCAACGCCAGCCCCAGATTCAGATCTCAGGCTGTGTCCTCAGAGCCTGCCAGTCCTCGGGCGGGGCTGATGCCAGACACCCGGTGACAGTGGCGGTGGCTCTACAAATCAGTGCGAGCCTTATCCCCAGCTCTGGGCCAACCAGGTGCAGGCCCTCATGGCTTCACACAGCACAGGTGGCAGCAGGAGGGCAACAGACCTGGGAATAAACCAATCTTGGTACAAGCAAGAGAATGAGGAGGCCTAGGAAAGAGGTAGAGGCCACCCGGAGGAGGGCGCTATTCCAGCTGGCCAGGGTGGGGCTCCCAGCAGGCTTCTGGAAGGCAGTGACATATGATGGGAGAGACAGAGCCTTGAAGGAAGACAGTTGTTTTGTTTATTTATTTTTTTGAAAGGCAGAGTTACAGACAGGCAAAGGCAGAGAGAGAGGTCTTCCATCCGCTGGTTCACTCCTCAAATGGCCGCAACAGCCAGAGCTATGCTGATCCAAAGCCAGGAGCCAGGAGCTTCTTCCGGGTCTCCCACACAGGTGCAGGTGCCCAAGGTCTTGGGCCATCTTCTACTGCTCTGCCAGGCCATAGCAGAGAGCTGGATTGGAAGTAGGGCAGCCAGGACTTGAACTGGCACCTATATGAGATGCCAGCACTGCAGGTGGTGGCTTTACCCGCTACGCCACAGCCACAGCCGCGGCCCCTAACAGTGTTTTTAGAGGTTGGAGAAGAGCCTGTTTAAAGGCGGGGGAGGGAGACTTCCAGGGAGTGCTCGAGGAAGGCACACAGTGTCTAGAAGTGACAAGAAAGGTCTAGAGGTTTTGCGACAATGTTGTGAGGAAAGTGTGGTCCTCACTCCATAGTGGAGGAGGTGCGGCTGGCCTGGGCCGGGAGCATTCGACCTTACAGTCCTGGTCACCAGCACAAGTCCCTGGCCACCCTCTGCTGTTGGCTGTCCCTGGAAAGGTCCTTCCAAGGGTGGGGGAGCAGAGCTGGAAGCAGGGGGAACTGGGTCAGAGGCGCCGTGGACTGCACTGGCACGGGCGGCAGGCGTTCTCTAGGTGAGAGCAGATTCCAGACGGTGGACAGGGACAGCCACCGAGACCCTCCGTCCCCCAAGGTTGGGCTGTACTCTGGCCCCAGGCTGCATTCATGGATGGGACTTCACCAGCCTGGGGGTCCTCCCAGAGCGCTCTGTGCGGCGCCGGTGCTGCCAGGACAGGCAGACAAATAGGGGTCTCCTCCAAGCCCAGGGGGCCTCCCGGGGCAGCATGGAGGAAGCAAGGAAGAAAGTGTTCGGGGAAGGGACTGGCCTGAGCTCAGGGCTCAGTGAGGTCCGTGTTTGCTCCTGCTCTGCCCAGGACCCCAGGCTGGAGACAGAAGACAAGAGGCTGCATTGGAGTAGGAAGCCTTGACCCTAGGTTACACACTGCCTTGAGTTCCTTCTCTCTGGGCCTCAGTTTTCCTATCCATGAAATGGGGCTAATATCCCCGCCCTCCTACTTTACAAAGCATTAAGCCTCGTAACAAGTGAGGAGCCAAGTCAGGGGTAGGTTGCCAAACAGTTGTTAAACCCTGGAAGGCCTGCCATATGGAACGGATCGCACTGAAAATCCGACATCTGCCCTTGTAGGGGGATAGGAGAGAGGGCAGAGGAAGGAACCCAGCTGCTGAGTTGGACAGCAGCCAGGAGGTCCACCGCCTGCATCCCCAGTTCCTTGACGTTCTAGAGGATTCTGACCTGCCCCCCCTAACACACACACACACACACACACACACACACACACACACACAGCTGGAGGGGAGGAGAGACTGTCGAGGCCTTGAACGCAGACTCTAGTTCTGGAAGCAGCCCTCAAGTTGAGTCTCCTCGCCATCCCTGTCTTGGTTGTCCTAAGGCAACCACACCAGCTTCCTGAGTTTCCGACAGGGCTGGCAGCTCTCTCTCTCTCTCTCTCTCTCTCTCTCACTCTCACTCTCTTTCCCGTCTCTCCTCAGCCACCCTCCTGAGGCCACCTGCTGCCCCTTTGTCCTGTGGTTTTTAGCCTCATACTTGGCCTGGGTCTGGTGGGGGGCGGTAAGGAACAGAGTGGGGGCCCAGACGAGACAGTTCTCCATCTTGTAACGGTTTCCGGTTCATCCGGACATTTCGCAGGCTGATGTTCTTTATTTTGAATCACCTTGTGGTTGACTGGGTTTTATCACCAACTTGGATTTTTTCCCCCAGGAAAGTGTAACATCCGTGAATCTCGTCTGTAAAACAGGGGTACTGATGACAGCGCCCTCGCAGAGCTGCTGGGCAGTCGGGCAGGGCAGGGAGCGTGCGTTTGTAATGGGGACACTTTAAGGGAACACCTAAATAAATAAATCTTTACCCAAAAAAAGTGCCACTCTGGCAAGTTGGGTCCCCCAGAAGCACTGTGAGACGCGTCCAGCTTGCAGGAGGCCTCTTGGGGCACTGGGGATCCACACCTGTGAGAGAGAGGGCAGCAAAGCAGAATCCACAAATCAGACCCTGCAAGTGTGCCTCAGCTGGCCCCGAAAGGGCCCTTCATAGACCCCGTTAGACGCCTGCCCGTCAGTCACGGGATGTGGGCTGCCCGGGGAGAGAGCACGGGGTGGGACCGGGCTGAGCAGCTCTCCCAGCTGAGCCCACCCCTGGGAGTGCTGCGGGGAAGGCTGTCGGCCCTCGGCCATCTGGGCACTGACCCCAGGGAAGAAGGGGGCTCTGGGTGGCACAGAGCAGCGTCGCCCCCTGCCCTGGGGTGGGGCTCGGGCTGAGTGGTGTCATCCGAGTCCCAGCGGCAGGTGCCTCCTTGCGTGCGTGCTCTGGGGGTCACATTTGCCTGCTGAGTCTCTGACCCCAGGAGCACCTTCCCTGTCACAGAAAAGAGCTTGCAAAGGGACCTCAGCCTCGCCATTGGGCAGCTAGCTAGTGACTGGCCCGTGGGAGATTCCCGGTAATGGAGCGCTGCCGTCACCAGGGTCGCTGTCACGCCAGCTCGGCTCAGCGTTCAGCAGATATTTGTCGGGTGAATTAATGAGCCTTTTCCCAGGCAGCTTAAGAGTTTAGCCGATTACCGAGTAATCCCCTTGAATTCCTTAATCCACCCCGCCTAACTCTTCGCACCACCCTGCTGCTGTTGGAAGTGCTGGGTCAGGCTTACGCCCGACTGCAGGACCAGGTCGGTCCTGGCCGAGTGCCTGCTGGGTGCAGGCATGGTGGGAGCTCACGGGGAGTACCCAGCAGGCGCTCTTCCTCTTCCAGCCTCTCCTTTCCTCACCACCCAGCCCGGCAAAAAGCACCGCTGGGTATGTCTCCCCATTGCAGAGGTCAGAAAACTGCGGCACACACAGCAAATGACTGCAAGTCACGCCCTCGTAAGTAGTGGGGTGATCATGCCCACCTTGGTCTCACCAGGGACCCTCCCTTCCCCGGCTGGGTCTGGCCCCAGAGGAACAAGAGCAGTGGCCTGGCTCTGTTCTGCCGCTCGGGCTCTGACGTGAGGGGAAGTCACTGGGGCTCCTTGGGCCTCAGTTTCTCCTCCCATACAATGGGGAGAATAACCCCAGGATCAGAAGCGTACGCGCAAGGATCTGGATGACCCTGGGTTTCTGAGAGCTCCTTTGCAAAGGGGGCAGTGCTCCTTGGCTGGGGTGGGTGTGTTCACAGCCTCCACTCTGCACCTGACCTGGGGAGAGGAGACCTGCCCATGCTTTGGGACTTGAGATCTGGCTGGCGTGGTGCGTGCAACCAGGGGAGCTGCTGAGAAGGCTCTGAGAGGCGGTGGGATGGGCGGTGGGTGGGGTCAGCTGGGAGTCCAGACCAAAGGCCCAAGGCCCAGCAGGTGGTTTGAGAGACAGAAAAAAACAAAGGAAGCTCCTCAGGGCTCAGTCTGGCAGGTGGAGACAGCACAGGCATGAGCCGAGGTGACCCAGGGGCCGCCCTGTGAACTGCTCCAATGGGCGCTGCTGGGGAACACGAGCCGCCCGCCCGTGACGGGGGAGGCCTTGTCCCCGTCACCTCCAGGGCCTTCCCGGCCTCAGCTCCAGCCCTCCAGGCTGTGGAGGCTCTGCTGTGCCTGCTGTCTGTCTCTGGGCCTTTGCCTGCGCGTCCTCTCCAGGGCCTTTGCCACCCGTGGAAGGCTTATTTCATCACATGTCAGGGTGGGTGGGGGTCTTCCCAGCCCTCACCCCCTTCCACCCCACAGGGGACACCGCGGGTGTCAGAGGTGCTGGAGCTGAGGCCGAAAGAG